CACGCTGTAAATCACAGCGATTCACAATCTCGATAATTTTGCTCTCTGCGAGTACAAAACACACACTTTATATTACCCGAAAAACCGTAACTACTGTTCGCTTAACTATCATACATTCATCATCGCTGGCTTTTCTCGCCAGGCTTATATACTAACAAATAGGCTTCGACAAAATTCGAGGAGTTCCCTGATAATTCTAGAAACTCATTCACGCATGCGCGAGCAGCGTCACGTGACTTCCGCTTTCGTAACAATAATAAAAACAACAACAACATAGAATACAATAAAACTGAACAATATATATATGTATTATACAACTTCATTGAAAGCAATTTTAATTCTTTAATAATTTACTGGTCACATTAGCTAAAGGAGTAGCACAAAAATTTATCTTTAATATACAAAATTCTAAGAATCTGTTTGTATTGGCTGTAGGACAGTTTGAGAAACTGGAGAAAGACCTTCAGGAAACGACCTCAATGGACATTCATTACTATGCCAGCGTTCCTTTGAAGACAGTCCCAAAGACAGTTGAAGATTTAATGGAGCTTGTAGATTCTTTTCCGGAACAGGCAAAAGCTGTCAACGAGGGACTTGGAGTTCCACTTCGTATGGAGTTGGTTCCATTGACAGCTCTTAAGGCTGACACCTCGACTTTTTTCAAAAATACGTAAGCTATTCAATTAATTGAATTTTAGGTTTAGGGCTTATCCCAATGAAATATTTTGACGACAAACAAGTTAGTGTCAGAAGTAAACAAAACTAATTGTAGAAGGCAAATATATACTTATTAGTGATGTATTATTTTTTGTTGAAACTGATGTCAACTGAATAAGTAAAAATAACCACAATAACTGGAGGAGTGAACGAATAGTTTTTGCAGACGAAATATGCCATCTCGACTAGCGATATAACGAGAGTGGTTACAGTTTCTTCAAACAAAATCACAAAAACAACAAAATGTATGAATGTGCTTCTGCTGCTGATAGCCATACACGTTTTGAGTCAGTCTCAATATCGATTTAAAGGAAGACAATGTCTTTCTTCTTATTCCTTTCGTCCAGAACAACAACTGACCAAACCAAACCTGTTAGTCTTAACCTCAGATTGATCCTCGCTACTTGCAACTAGTTTGATATTAGGTTGGTACAAGTTAAAACTAACAACGCTCTGTTCACGAGAATGTTAGCCAGACGTAAGAAGTTAAATGAAAATTCAACCCGAATAATGTTTAAAGAAAACATCTTCACAAGCTATTTGTCACAGAGCTAAAATCGTATAATTTTCCAATTACCACGGTGATAGTGATTTAGTGTTTCCTAAATTAGAACATTACAGATTAATATTTGACTGCAACTTAATTATTTTACTCATTTCTTTATATTTGTAAACATTTATCGATCTTATTTCGAAAACGACAGTTCAAAATAGCATAATATTATTTGTACATCCCTAATTATCATATGTTTTAGGGCTATAAATGATCAATTAGACCGTTTCGAAGCCGAACTAGATGACCTGCAGGCGGCTAAACGAGCTTTGAATGAATGGATGGCCAACGTTCCTCCTATACTTCCTTCGGAATGGCGGAACAAGGTCAGTAGTACTCAGACTTCTCTCTTACACCAGTAAACTTAACTATCCAGGAAGAAGAATACTCTGAAATAACTTAATCAGACCTTTCGTTACACTATCAATTTCAGCGATAAAAGTCATAAATCCCATATATACGAGATATAGCTGAGGAAGAAAATATCACGGAATATTTCATAATAACATACCACTGATCGGAATACCCTGACTAAAGGTTTAATTATTCCTTTATATATCACCCGGAAACAAGAAATAACACCGTACCTTTAACTTGCTATATTTTGTAATCTATTTTCATGAAAACTATTTGTGCTTTTACCCATTTATTTACATTTCTTCTTAATTACTTAAGACAAAGAAAATTAATTAATGTTTTATTACATGTTATATTGACAATATATAAAGAAGAAAAAAACGCTTCTTGATTTACTTAATTTTCTAAATAATTCCAGGGATAGATCCACGATTTTGATGTTCTCCCGCTAGCTCATAAAATCTTTTGAAAAAATTCCTTTTATTTATAAGACTTAAGGGTACTTTTGTTTAGTAATCCAATGGAAAGGGTGGTTGAAACTCTTCAACCTCCACTTAGGATCTGCCAGTGAATTCCTTGATATTTCAGGTTAGGTATTATATATTGAATTTTGAGTTTAGACATACGTATAACATATTGTTATAAACTCTTCTTTATTTCCATTCATAAGTTTTTAGTATTTGTTTAAACCTGCAAACTGAGACGAAATATGAAAATTATAGTGCGTTGTTTAAACCAGCAAACTGAGACGAAATATGAAAATTATAGTGCGTTGTTTAAACCAGCAAACTGAGACGAAATATGAACATTATAGTGCGTTGTTTAAACCAGCAAACTGAGACGAAATATGAACATTATAGTGCGTTGTTTAAACCAGC